TTCAGTGTTAGATAGCCCATTTATCGAGGAAGGCTATAGGCTATATATCTATATATATCTATATATAATAGGAGCGGAGCACCAATGAAGAATGTTTCAAAAACGGAGAAAATTTATTACTATTGAGAGACGCAGATGAAGTTGCGCGGGTCAGCTAGTAATATAATAAATATGTTGCAATAATGAAACATCAAATAAAAGTAATAGAAACTTATGCAGTTTTTAGAAAGTTTTAAAAATGGTGGAAATGACTGTCACATTACTTTGAGTTATTTACTACTGCAGCTGCAAGCAATTCCTGAAGTCTAAGAGTTAATTGTAGAGCTTAGGAACTGTAATCATCATGGTGCTGTAATAAGGGAATGAATTCTATTGTTCATGTATTCTTGCTAATCTATCCAAATAAATAAAATTAAAGTGTCTGTTTGTAATGTCAAAATAATAGATTTTTTTCATACTCACATGGTTATTTGCACGATAATTATACCTAAAAACCAGTTTAAATATTTTTGTCTGTCTGTTTGTTCTGGGTAATCTTCAAAAGGTTCCAGAGGTTGTGGGTCGAACCCACAACCTCTGGCCCAGTAGTCAGGGTCACTAAACACTAGACAAACAGGTGGTCATAGAGAAAGAGAAGAAAAAACAGTAATAGGTAATAACAAAATGAATAAAATTACAAACATTTACAAATTAACTATTTGTGTTTGACAACCTGTAGCTTGTGACACTTATGGGAAACATAAAAAACGTTGAATAACTCCATTCAGAGAACATCTGCGTTACTGTACATTATATTCCCCTATTATTCATTTATTATTTGTATCCACATCTGTTTAAAACTAGTAATACACAATTCAGAATAGCAATAATAAAATAAGGCACCCTTCCCACGGCCATCTGATCCCAGACTGGACAAAACCTGTATTATACCTAGGGGTAACCCTTACTCATAGCCCAGGTTTTATTATACACATCTTGCTGACCTTGAGTAGCAAAAGAATTACTTCCGATACATCTCACTCATGGCCGTCTGATCCCAAACTAGGCAAAGCCTGTATAATAATAGGTCTTTACCTATGAACTTGCACCTACCGACTATTACTTTTTCCAAAATTTAGACAACTTTTTAGTGGGTAAAAAATTCAATTCCCGAGAGGCAGTACAAAATGCCTTTGAAGAGTTTGTTGCCCTCCCGTCCAGCTGATTTTTACAAGAAGGTCATCAATAAACTGCCAATGCGTTGGCAATGATGCGTCGATTGCATGGGTGATATTACTTCGAATAACAGAAATAAAACAGTTTGGAAAAATAAGTACTTTCACTTATTGCATACAAAACGGAAATTTCATAGGTAAAGATTTTTTGTTCCATGAAATTTGCTTCGACAAAACTATCCGCTGTAGTTTTGTGTTCCTCTATAATTTTTAATTTTTTAATAATATTATAATAAAAGGCATTAGACGATTTTAAATAATAGGTAACCAATTAGATGAAACAAACTACATATTTTAATGTGAAAATTTGTTTTGTTTGCCGCCATTATGCATCACATAAATAAAATGATAGTAGCGGCTCTAACAGTGGATAATGTTACTATTTTACGATATAAACACTAATGATTGACTGCACGGATGGCGTAGTGGTTTAAGCGGTCGCCACGCCGCTTACTACTACGCTGAGTGTTGTGGGTCCGATCTCCACATGGGACGACACTTTGTGTGATCTATAAATTGTCGTTCTGAGTCTTGGTGTTCTTTGTGTGTTTTATGTATGTTTGTAAAGTCCCCCGCGACACAGGATATATTCCTAATGCTTGAGTTGTCTTTTTAAAAAAACCAAGAAAAGAAAACAAAAAAAAATGAGAATATCATGAAAAAATTCTATTCATATCCTTAAACGCAGTTTATTTATTGATTTGGAAAGTGATTTAGAGTCGTCATAACTTATAACGAAGTAATTCACTCAGCATTAGTGGTTAGTCCGTGTGGTGACGGATTAAGAATAAAGAGTGTCACCACCCCTATTCATCCAGTGGGTGTCGTAAGAGCCGACTAAGGGAGAAAACTACGCAGAATAACAACACTGCAGAAAGAAGGAGAACTTGACACAAATCCTATACCAACCTGTCTGGCCAGCGTGGTATAGTAGGCAAAAACCTCCTTTCTAAGGAGAGGCTTATGTCCAGCATTTTCGCAGTAAACCCTTGATAAGATCTATAAGATAATAAAATTCTGAACATCTGGTTTAAGCGTAGATCAGATTAGTGAATTCTAATAAGGATAATTTGTGGACCGATAAACAAACCTTTAAAAAAAGACCCTAGTAGAAGAGTACTCCTTCCTAAAAGGCTGGCAACGCGTTTGTGCCTCGTGAGTTGCAGACGTTCATGGGCTGTTTCCATTCGCCTCAACCGGCTAACTGTCGGGAAGTTTGTCCAGTTCAAACGAAACGTACAAGAATATTCCTGAACACAACTAGGTATTAGGACAGGACCCACATTTACATGCTGTAGCTGTAGCTGCAAGTGCATGTACTTAAGTAGTACTTGTCGTTCGGCGACATATCAACATTCCGCAAGACTCCGTATATCTGGTCGCAGCTTAACACGTAACTCTTAAGTCATAATAACATATTTAAGAGCAAGTGGCTGGCTATTTGGTTATAACTAGGCATATACTGGCCGTTATTACACCTTTTCACCGTTTATTACATGGTTATTTTAATGTCATAAGTTATTTTGAACTATAAGATCATTTTACGCAAACCACACGGTAAGTTTAATCTTAAACTAGCTTTTGGAAGCGGCTCCGCCCGCGTATACGTCGGTTATCGCGGTAAAAGAAGCCTATGTTACTGCAAATAAGGGGGAGGTTCTCAATTCGTCGGAATCTTTTTTTTTACATAAATTACTTTTATTAAACATAAAACAAACAATATTCGCATGCTAATCGCTAACAGATGGCGCTGCAAGTATGAAACACGACAACTTATTTAACTCATAAACTTAATCCAATTTGATATAAAGGGAACTTTATTGGGGATTGTGGGAACTATAATGAATGATTTAAACAATTTAAAAAGTATTTAAATAAGTTGGATATCAGTCAAAACAGTGTATATTTCAAGTAAATGTTTAAGGCTTCAATTGTTTTGGAAATGAATTACTGACTTCAGATGATTTATTTGATATTTTATTCTAATTTACACTGGCCACAATTATGTTTTGAAAGTAGTACGGCGCGACGGAAAAAAAAGAAAGAAACCGACCTTCTAAGTGGGAGGCTGGCTTTTGATTCATTTAGAGAATTACGACAAATGTTATATTTTGACATAACCTTATATTGAATTCTGAATTGCCAAAGCAACTATAATTTCTTTTACTGACAAATAAACGAGATCATTACAAAATTTCCCTTAACTATATTCAACAACTAGGTCAATGTTGAAAATAAAGATTTTAATGAATTTAACACTACCTTAAAGGAGTTACTTTACTCAAATTAAATTCATTAAAAATACAGTAAACTATACCTATCCGCCCGTTAACAGGTGACGCTGTATGTAAGATTTAATTGAAATTGTTCTAACAATCTCACTTAAACGGTCATTTTGATTGATTTAATTTTTGAAATAACTAATAACATTACACACTTCACACACGGCCGTCTGACCCAAACTAGGTATAGCTTTTGATATGGTAACAAGACTGCTGATAAACCTACTCATATATTTCTAAATACTTGCTTATTATATATAAATTACACCCAGACACAGTACAAAGGTCTTTTTTATCTCACAACAATTTGTTGTTCGTGGGAATCCAATCCACGACCTCTGATTTGCTAAAATAAACTAAGATTGAGCGAATAGCTCTCTTTTGCAACACAAAGATACTTTGAATGTTAGTAGCATTTCTCTACAACGAAATACCATAAGTCATTACAATATTAAAATATGCTGAAAAAACTAAACAACTAAAACTTTTTATTAACCAACAAACGAGATAGATTATTACAAAATATCCATTGAATACAGCTCGATATTCAAAATACATATAATTATAAATTTAAAGCAGTTATTTTACTTAAATTATTTAATGTAAAACACAAAACAATCTTCCGCCGCCCGTTAACAGATGATGCTGCATGCAGGATTCAAATTAAATAATTCTAAAACACTTAATTCAGCACACTTACACGGTTTTTTTTTGGGTGTTTTTATTTTTATAATAAATTCTTGAAAAATGGTTAGACGCCAATCTAATTCAAACAGTCAAAACAGTGTCTATTAAAGTTAAATTTATTGTCTTGTCCAACCGTCAACAGATGACGCTGCAAGTAAGATTCAATTAAAATCTAAAATACTTTCTAATAGAAATTTAGAATACTTAGTTTGAAAATGAATTATTATAATTATTATATGAGATATAAATATTTTGTGAACTCCGGAAAACGTCTAAATGAGCGTTACGTGATATTATCGGTTTAGATGAAAGTTTAAAACTGATATTTCTATCAAATTAAGATCATCCTGGAAGCTTATTATGATACTAGAACATTTTTATCCAGACTTGTATGGGATGAATGCGGTCTGCCCAAGACCGGAATAGTTAGCGCTCCTTGGTAAAGGCTCTCGTTCATCAGTATACGGAATTGGCTGATTATATGGTATAGACTAGTATACACAAAAGGGGAATCAAACTTTCGACTTCGGATCACAGTTGAGTTCACTACTACTGCACCACTTCGGGCACTCAACATATGACTATATTATGTATGATATCTAAAATCAGTAAATACTACTTAAGTAATGCTTGACCTGAAATAACACAAAACCTCACATATATTCATCACGGAAGGAGAAATCAGAGATATTATTTAAAAGTACGTTAAAAACTATTACGCAATTAGAGACGCCATTTTGCAAAGCCCGTTTATTGATTAGTGTTTACGATAGGGTATGTGGGCCCCATAGATGGATTCAAATTTAAATACATGCTCTTATGTACCTACACCCCTTTGTCCAACCGATAGATGTAGTAGCCACGCCGCGCCGCGCCGGCGCCGCTGCGTGGCGGCCCGGGCAAGGGCTGCATCGATCAACGCTGTAACGAATACGCCACCCCCCTTCCCACCCACAGGGGTCAGCCACAGGGCGCCGCGGCGTCGGTCTGTCAATTTGTACAGTATAGTGTACAGGTAAATAATTTGATACGCAGCATCCGATGATCGATCGGCGCGGAGAACTTTGAGAACTGTCTTGTTTAAAATACTGCATTGCGGTATTTGCTCTGGGGCACTCATAAATATAATAATAACTGCCATATGGTCAATGCGGAATTAAAAACATCTCTGTTAGTTACTTATAAGTTTACCTAATAGTTAATACAAGAAATTTAAGAGAGCCTATTTGACACAATTGTACATGTATAAGGGTTGGAATGTATTTATTTGGCAGTCTTTGTTGGACCCGTCTTCACATTGACAAAGACAAAGATTCCTTTTCTACACCGTATGCATTCAACTATGTTTCCGTTCCGTTTCTGACCCAAGAGATACCACGGCTTCACAGAAAACTGGTGTTTAGGCAATTCTTTCGACACTTTTCACCGAGTGAGCAGGGCCGGATTAGCCATTAGGCAGAGTAGGCAACTGCCTGGGGGCATGCATCGGTTAAAATGCATCCTCAAACAAAGGGGCCCCGAGGATTACAATCCTTGGGGCCCCTTTTTTTCGGGTCGCCCTTTGTGTCGTTTACATCTTCCATAATTCTTTGCATGTTTTAAATCTGCGGGTGCAAAGAGCATAACTAATAATGAACTTAAATTTCAGCATCATCATCATCAACAGACTTTAGTAGTCCATTGCTGGACATAGACATCTGTTTAGAAAGAAATAACTGAAATTTACAAGTATTAATTAAAATGTATCTTGTTCAAATATTTTTGTCCACATTATTTACATTTCATACATGAACATAAATTAAGTTTACAAATAAAAATACAGACACAGGCATCAGAAAGAGCAAAACACAAACAAAGTTTTAATTAATAATTCCATCCCTGATCGTTTCTAGTGGTAAAATGTCCATCATACTTGCTGCACACTTGTGGAATGGCAATGACCAACCTTTGCACCAGGAACGAACCTGCGCGGGAGTCACTATTGACTTCTTTTTTAATTTGAATTTCTTTTCTAAATTTCTTAGTGTCAACACCGCCACAGGAACGAAGTAGTAAAGCTGCTCCAGAGTTGCATACTTTTGTCTCTTTTATAAATATTTCTTCTCCTTCTAGTTTTAAAAGCACGTAGTGGAACACTCCATTGTAAATAATTAAAATGCACTAATCTTATTATTTATTTTGGCTGGCCCGTAGCTAGACCAGTGTTTAGTGCTTCTTACTGCTAAGCCTGAGGTCGTGGGTTCAAAACAAATATTGTATGTTATCTTTGATATTTTGTGAACGTTATTTTGTGAAGATAAAGTAAACAGCAACATTAAAAAACCAGTACCGACTATTAGTTGTATTGAACACGAGATGGAACAATCTAATGATAAACTCTTTCTTAGCAAAGTTTGGTAAAATCTTTGGAAAATGCTACAAGAAACGAGTTATTCAAACAAAGATTCAAGTAAAAAAACAATCTATAAACTGTATCACTAGAGGCATTAAAGTCTCAAGTTAAATGAAAAGAGTACTAGCATGTATACCCATAAAGGTTCTTTATTTAAAGTTTAATAACCTACAAAACCAACTATATACGTATATATACTCGTAGTAGAATCGCCAAGCTTGCAAAAAAGTTAGCCTTTGAGAATCATTTGACTTTGGCTAAACACATCATCAAAGAGACTTGGATTCTGGTCAATCAATATAATAATAAGAATGAAAAAAGACTCAATAAGAAACTAATCCAAATATTTACGACCGGATGGCGTAGTGGTTTGTGTAAAGGGACTGCTATTCCAAAGGTCGCGGGTTCTATTATTATTATTTTTTATTATTACCTAGGTGTGAACCCTAAGGTATACCGGAACTTATTTTATATGTATTAGATTTATATCCATGAGCTACAACGTAAAAGATCTATCAGCTAAATATGAAGAAAGCCATTTGAGAAAAGACCCAGGAAAGCCATATGCAGATAACTTCCCAATTAAAATTTCATGAGGTCAAACGTCTCGCAAATGTTGGAGTAGATAGCATAGATTGGTTTGCTGCTTCAACCACATGTTTGTGGGGATACACGTGTGTTATAAATTAATAAATAAGATGCGATAGTAAATGACAACCAGTTGGCGCCTGAACCTCAAATGTCGCTTCCTCCTACACAACGCGACACCTACATCATGTTCAATAAAAGACCCGAAATGGCTACAAATAGATCTGCCCGGGATGAAGCCGTGTTGGTGGGTCGATACGAACTTTTTGATGTAATTTTGAATTAATTTGCTTTTTAAAGATTCGAAAATCTTTACTAAAGTTAACAAATTATAAATCGGTCAGTAGTTACATACCAAATTACTTTCACCTGCCTTGTATATCGGCATTACTTTGACAAGTTTTTATAAGTCACGAAAAAATTCCAACTAGAAGATTTTTTTTTTAAATTCGTCAGCACATTCAGATATAAAGCTCAGGGGAATCTGGTCATAACCCGAATCTTTGGTGATATCCAAAGATTCAAGTCTTTTTAGTATCTTTTCGCTTTATGGCCGGCATTCTTTAGATGACTAGAAACCTCATAGATGTTCACTGGTCGGCTAGATGATGAATGTATTAGAAAAGTATGAACCAAACATATTGCAAATACTACTGTCCCTTGATGCTACTGAACCATCAGACATAGACACAAACCCTATAACAACCCGTCTGGCCAGCGTGGTACAGTAGGCCAAAACCTTCTTTCTAAGGAGAGGCTTATGTCCAGCAGTAGACTATTAAAAGCTGTTGATGAAGCTAGGTTTCCGTTAATACCAAAACATCATAATTGGCACAGGCTCAGAAACGTTAAAATTCATTAGTTTTGGATCGCAGTACTTACCTTAGTATGTATTTGATAATACATACTAAGGTAAGTAAATTTGTAATTTTAAAAACATGCCTACATAAAAGAAAAAGAAAAGAGAAATAAAAACACAAAATTTAAGTTATTACGATCAAAGAATCAAAGTCTTTTATAATTTTATTTTCGGTACTACGTAGGATGTAGGTAGGTAGGACGTAGCTGCGTCTATTTCGGGTCCACACGTACTTGGAGCCCTCTCTTTCGCTTTAAGGCGGCCATGCAGTGCCCGGGCAGTGTTCGGACTTAGGTGCTCACTAATATAACTTGAAGACTTATCACCATTTAAACCGAGATGTGAAACTTTTCCTTCATTGGTTTAGATCTATCAATGCGGCAAAAAAAAGTGTCTCGTAGTGTAGGTGTGTTAAATTAAACAATAATCGATTTTAGACGATTATTAGCGTTATTTTGTTTTATAACACGGGTACAATTAGTAATATTATCCTTGTTCAATCATGAACATAATTGCATCACCCAGCAACAGCATTTATGTCACACGTGGTGCGGCGTAAAGTCGATGCACTGTCAACATTTTGGCATGACCGAGATTAAGGCAGCTGCACCAACACAACACACGGATGGCACACAAGCAAATAGCCATCCATGTGTACTTAGAGTAAGTTTAGTATATAAGATGTATTATTATCTAAATAAATCAGTCATTTTGTCTAATCCGACTTTGACTCATTACCCTCACCCACTTCTCACTGCGGCCAAGACACCTTTAGCCGTCAGTAGGTCGGTCTTGTGAGTCTGCTCGACCGGCAGTGAGAAAATCATCTCCTAAATCCCGCTCCCTTCACGTCCCCGTCTCCAGGTAACAGACTTCCCGCACTATCTATAAGTATATGTATATATACGATCAGCGCAGGGTCACATATTAATAGGGCTAGGGAATTTAGGAATTTAGGTACGTAGGCGTAGGTTACGTACGAGTATTGCTCTTCTCACTACGGTGCCCGCTCGATACACGTACTTAGGTTGTAATTTAGATAGGCTTTCGGTGTTACACGTACGAGTGCTGGTTGGAGTACCAATTTTGCCGGTCCGCACCCGTACAATAATCTTTAATGTCGCAGCCCTCGATTTATCTTGTTTATGTATTAGCACCGAACTTGTTACCATAGCACAGGGGCCGTCTTCATCATCATCATCATCAGCCTATCGCAGTCCACTGCTGGACATAACCCCTCTTCCATTGCACTAAACTTAGATCGATTTTAGGGGCCGTCTTATTTTGTAAAATGTTTAACATTATTATTATTTATTTAGAATAGATACATCAAAGATTTAGTCACTATTACATCTATTTAAATAAAAATGAATCGCCGAAATGTATGTACGCGCATAACTTCTGAACGACTGCACCAAAGTGGATAAATCTTTTTTTTTATCTTCGTTTTTGTTAGGACAAGGTTTCTATTTAAAAAAAAAACAAACAGATTAATAAAAATAATTTGGTTGATTTAAATTAGATTCTAATTGATTATAATTCAGTTTTAACAGTTAGTATTGAGTCAGATGACTGTGGGAGATATTCTATACCTTGAGAAAACATTCCTGTCAAGATTGACAGTATAGTGACAATAATTCATACATATTGGCGCAATTACAATCTACCTCACTTAATGCAAATTATTTGATTTATTTAAAATATATTCTAATTGATTGAAATTGAAGTTTTTAATAGTTAGTATTAAGAAATATAATCATAATATTATCTAGAATACATCTTTAATTGTATTTACTGTTATTATGGTCGGCCCCCGCTTCTCCTTGCCTCCCTGTAACCTGCGATGCACGCCGTTCGCTAGCGGTTCAGACGGTTCGAAGCACCGGCCCACAGCGAAGTCGAGGATCGAGGTTTGATTCTCGACATAAGCTTTTATGAAAGAAAACCACGACAATGTTAAAACTACTTGAGCTTTGCTGACGTCACTTTTTTTTAAAAAGACCCATACACGGGTCCTCCGTCATAAACAATTACCACTTCTTTAGCAACAGCAAAACGGTGTTTTGATATGTGTTTAGATTTTTTTGTTATTGATAGAAAAATGAAAGCAGTGAGCCGTCAAAATATCGGTCGGTGTTCACAATCTTTGAGACAATGGCAAAGAGAACAAAGAGAATGAGAATTTCTCAAGCGAGATCTACCACGACTCTTAAAGAACCAATACCATCGACTTCGAGCAAGGGGCAATAATACAGGCGATTAAACGTAACAATTACCTGTGAACGTTTGGCGTTTAGATATA